TGATATTCAAATATGCGTTCTACTATGTGTAACCAGTCTAAGAATTCTTCAAGTTGCATCTTTCCCTCGAACTCAGGAATTTTCTATCTTCGAATTGAATATGCTAGGTTGAAGTTGCTTTTTGCGTAGATAGTCTCAAACTTGTCGTGGGTGAGATAAGGTGCTATCATCAGAATCATTGTTGTTTTCATGGAATAGATTGGTTTCTCCTTCATCTTCTTTGTTTCTCTTTCGTTGCCTCCTTATCTCCTTTCTTTCTTCTTGTATATGCAGTCGATGTTGTAGTTAAAGGATCTGTTGTCGCATCTCCTCTATGAGGGTATCCTTTGGATCAATATTGATAGTTGCTGCAATGTTAGTGTTGGCTTCAACCTCTTCTATTGGTGCTTGACGATGACAACTGGCCATAGCTCTGATTCCAATTTGATGTCGAAAATTGGTGTTTGGGATGTGGAGATTAACTGCAAACAGAAAAACTCACAAAGAAAACAACTCACAAGAATTTAAACAATGGCAGAATATGATTATTGGATTAAAAGGTATAAAAGTTTACCACCAAGACTATAAACTAAGGGATACAGAAACATCACCCTAAGAATTCTAATCAAGGATACAGAACAATAAAAGTTCACCACTCTAGGAAATCCACCTAAGAGATACAGAACTTGAAAAACAATCAAGAAGATTGCCTAAGGATAAATAAAACTCTATTCTACCTCCTACCAAAGAATAATAGAAAATATATATGCTAGGAACATCCCTTTAAGCATGGAAACTTCAAGATTGCATTTCTATAATCGTGCCTAAAATCATAGAATTTGCATGTGAACATAATCTGCCCATTTACTCCTAAACTTGACCACAATCCCATTCATATTCATGATTTTCTTTTTCAGTTAATGTGAACGCAATTTCCTTATTCCAGCCTTATTTATGTGTGGATTTGAACCAAGACTAGGCCCATTTTATTTTTGGATAAATTTACCTTAGTCTCAGCTCAAGTTGCATGACGTGCAGACACTCCGGTGTCATAAGTTCACATATGTAAATATGTACTAAGATTAAGACTTCAATTTGACTAGTGATATTATTATGATCTTATGTCTCCAACAGAGGGAAAATCCGCCCCAGAAATTGGGGACCAGCCTCTGAACTCGGCTTGTGGTTACCAATTTTGTAATCGCCAACGTTGCACAAGGCTCGAAGCAGAGCTCCTGGGGATCTCCGAACTTAATAGTATTGTTATTAATCAAGCAACCATATCATGAAATTGTGTTTATGTATGTTTGATCAAGAATTATTGGTAAAAATAGCAATATTGTTACTCAGCCAATAAGATAATTATATATATATGGGTTGAGCATGTAGAACAATAGACGTGAATCCATGTGATTGTCTTTTTATGTTAAAGCAAGCAGAAGCAGTAGTTAAGAAATATTATATGTAGAGAAAGGGGAAATCTAAGATATGAAAAGCAAAATGCAATAAGGAAGTCTTTCGTCTTTGTGTGGTACAAAACATTTAAATAATTAAATTAGTGTAGAGTTTTGAGAAAGGGATGGGTAAGTTTTGTCGAAAATAATTATATTTGTTGGGGGAATCCATTTAATTTCCATGTGAGGACTGATGGTTATACGATAAATTTTGAAGGGGATTTGCCAGCTTGTTTCTGCAATTATTTATTTATATATGTAGCGTGGAGTTGTCGTTATTTATCAACTTTTGGATTTTTTTGATCCAACAGCTTGGGGCTTTTTTCTTCTCAATTTAATAGCTTCTCCACTCCTTGTTCTTCAATCGATATATCAATCCCCTTCCCTTCCTCCTTCCCTCTCTATTTTCAGTTGATAGAAATTACCTTTCACTTTTGATAGATCAAGATCACAATTAAGACATGATCAATATCACTGATTTCTAATTCGAGGTCTCCCTTTTTTTTTCCTTTAGAAATGGCTTGACAAGATCATATTAAAGAAGAAGAAGAAGAAGAAAAAGAAGAAAAAGAACAGTGAATTAAAAGAGAGAGAGGGTCAACTAATATGTATCTATAGATAGCAAGCACCATGTTAACAGCTGTAGATTACAGGAGCTAGCAATAATTTAGAACTTCATCCCTGGCTTAAAGAATAAATGTAAACTCAAAATCATTAATTAACCTTAAACTTTAATCTATAGCTTTTTATAACAATTGAGAGAGATCATGTCCATCTTTCTGTCGGCTAATTACAAAATCCCTTATTTGATTACCCATATATATTTGAACCTCTTCCAACAGATATATAACTATATATATATATATATATATTTCATATTGTGCAGACCAATTGTAGTATATAGTACTATGAGCATTAATCAAAAAAGAAAGAGAAAAAAATTTCTACAACGTTCAACTACTCCAAGTCTTTGTTCTTCATTCAGTTAATCACATCTGATAATCATATTGTGAGTCGTTTGTCACTTTGTGATGATAAAATAAAATTCATATTAAATTCATAATATATGATTGCCACCATTAACTGCTCTTCAACTATATACTAAAATTTGGACAATTAGTTGGATGATTAATTTCGATAATTAATTAAGCTCATAGTCAGATTTTGGTATAACTACAATGTACATTTGTTGTCATCAGAAAAGGAAAAAAGAAAAAAGTAAGCTGTGATTAATTAAACCTATTACAATTGAATTATGATGCAAAGTCAATCAATACTTTATTAAACTTTTTCAAATTAAAATCAAACAAAATGAAGGATTTCATCGAATCTTCCCAAAATTATTCATGACGATAAATTATTAATAATCTGAGAACATGACAAGATTTTTTACTTACATCTTGAGGGTGTAAATACAATGCCATGCCCATTAGTACAAATATATTCATCTCTCTTACTCTCTCCAATGATCATATAGTTTCCATCATGAAGCAAATGGTGGAATTTCGAATCTGCCGTTATTATACGCAGACCCAAAAAACAAAAGGGAATTAAAGTAAATTGTATCCTCAAAAACCAATGCCCCACCAATGTCTCCATTGCATGCTTGAACCAACTGTGATTATATCTTTGGAGATGAGTTGTGATATCCCGACATGGAAAAAAAAAATTGTTAGCCTTCGGAGATGCTTGCCAGATGAGGCCGCCATACTCCAACACGACCGTTCCGGCGATCCCTACCCGAGGAACATTTCTTCTCTGCAATATTGACATTTGCTAGGTAACGATCACAACCTGAAACCTCATTGTTGCATTTTTTGCTCTTCTTTTTATGATGTGTACCAGTCTTTTTCTTCTCCAGTAACGAAGATGATGGGATCAAGAAGTATATGCTGCCTCTTTTGAGCTCAGATTCCGGAGAGAGGATCAAAATTTTCCGTACAACACCTTGAGAGCATGGTTTGCTTAGGACATGATTAGGGTTGGCCTTGAGGATTTCACCAGCCGTGACCGGACCCATAATTTCTTCCACGTAACCATTCAAATGGACTATACGGATCAAGTCTAGAGCACCACAAGGAAGAACACAAGCCAAACAACACCTTAAACTGTTGCCCATGTCTTTGGAATTCACTCTACCGACCCTTTCTCTTTTAGTTTTCAAACTCTTTTTTGTGCCTCTTTTTTTTTTTTTTTCCTCTTTCTTTCGAATGAATTGTGACCAAAGGGTGGTGTCACTAGACAACATTATATAGCAACAACCGAAAGATCATATGCCCTAAAGTAGAAATATTATATTTTATACCATATTCAAAATTACAAAAGTGTCCTACTCCTATACATATATATAGTCTATAAATATTAGCAGTGGGTTTTTAATTAAATTAATTTAATTTCCTTTGGAATGTAATTAACTTAAGCCGCCTTGTGCTGTAATTGTACTAACAAGGAAACTACTTTCTCTTTGTTAATAATAAAAAAAAAAAAATCACAAGGAAAGTGGGGTTAGTTTCTTTATCATGTTATAAGAAAGTTAACTAATTAAAATGAGATGACGCTTATGCATAAAAAAAAAAAAAAGTTGATGCTGAAAGTCAAAAGCAATATATATGTAATTGATTTTGAGTTTAATTTCGTACTTAAGTTGTAGTTTGAACTTTAAATTGATTAAGAAATACTACTAATTACAACTTATATAAATAAACCCCAAAACTTGTTAATAAAATGTCAATTGTCATTAATGGGCATGACTTGATTTAATTTAACAGATATTAATTAGAAAAAAAAAGGAGAAAAAACAGAGAACACCCATTATTAATTTGTTTTATACTGCTATGTGGATTTTCCTCAAATAGATCTAAACTCTCTAGTCATTGGAAGTGCGTTTTAATCAGTAAACAAATACTAGCACCTGACCTGACCTAGCTGAACTCAAATCATATATTTATATTATAAGATCCAAACCCCGTGCTAAAAAAAATTAAGATAAATTCATTAAATAAGATTCCACGTCATTATGAAATCTTAACAAACATATCTAAATCAGTTTAATCCAATTCTTAATTACTCTCATCTTTTATAAACAAAGTTACCTTAACTCTCACTCATAATTACAAGTAATGAACTGATAATATTCCAATTTACTTCTTCGTACTTTATATTATCAAAACATCAACACAAAATGACAAAAATGGCTAATCTTTATAATAAAAAAATAATTTAAAAGCTTAAGGTTTTTCCCAAGGGTTTCTTGGGAAATTAAAAGTATTGGGGATTAAGTGTGGTGATTAAGTTTTCATTAATACCAAAATCTCAAAGAATATTCTGAATTAAAAAAGCACTAAAATGAAGGACAAACAATGGATTCCACAACAACATGCCCTATGACGATTATCGCGAATATAGGCAGAGAGATTGGCAAAGATATAAATAAATAATTGGCTTTGGACTGACTTATTAGGTACGGAATGAAACTTGAAGAGTACACGTTAGATACACTTAATATTTAATTGTATATATGGGTAATAATTAGCTCATAGGCCGGTGACCTACGAACACAAGGGGAGATAAGTGGTCACGGCCATGAATCAATGCTTGGACCACTCTGGCCTAGAACACATGAGCCCTTCAGCGTTGTTTCGGACCCCTGTGGACTGGGCTAGCCAGCTAGTAGCTGATTGGACTGCAATGATAGACAAATTCTTTTTCATTTTTTCATTTTACTTGAAAAAAAAAACGAATTAACCTATTATTTTATACTTATAATACAAATGTTACACGTGAAAATGATGAAAAAAACTATGTGCAATGATATACATTTAGCCCCAAGGTTTTTCTTTTCTCAACTAGAGGTAAAAAAAATAAAATAAAACAACGGCATTTCCTATGTTACGCCACTATACTAAAATACTAATCAAATTAATACCTCGAGGCTCTAGGGATAACATTTTTTATGCAAATTGTTTTAAGAAATGTGGAATTTAATTATTGTCACGTTATTGATTGTCCTTATACAGGAGTGCAAAAGTTATAATTAGCTATTATACGATGATTGCCCTTATGCAAAAAGTGCAAAACTATATAGGATGTTCAGTTAATCTTAATTCGGTAAAGAGTGCAAAAATTATAGCGGATCACCATTGAATGATCATAAACATGTTAGTTGGCTTTTTTTGTCTGGAAAGAAATTTAATTACCATCTATGCAGGGATGATTTGGGCTACAAGTTGGGAACAAATTAATCAAATGGAACATTGAGGTATGTTTACTATATATCTTGTATGCTATATGTAAGTGATAATAATCAATAAAATCCATCAAAGTGACGCTGCTGCATACAATATTAGAGAAGGAGGGTTCGTTGCACGGAGGTTCGGGGCACCGGCCAGATGCACGAGGCCAGCTGCTTACTGCCAAGATTCCTATATTAAGATTGAATCTAAACATGTGGAAAAAAAAAATACTATCCATCATTGAACAACGTGAGTCAAGTCTTTCTTCGCACTAAGGCCAATGAAAATTATTTAATGTCAGTCACTTTGATGGATAATCATCATTGCAAATATTAATTATGGTAATAGAGCATGATTAATTGAAGAAGAAGGTACTTTTTCCATCGGAGTCGGTCTCACCATTGTTTAATTAAATTGCTTGGTTTGTATTTTTGTGTTATTATCTCGAGGTTCAGATATATCCTATGTTTCATGTACATGCTTGCTTCATCTCGAATTGAACCATGGATTTGCCTGCAGTTAGCTGGCATGTGTCAAGCTTCAATCTGGTTCTCTGACTCAAATTTAGCTCTGATATTCACCAATAAAATATATATATATATATATATATATATATATGGTTCATGGATTGTGCCCATAGATTTTGCATTAAAGAGATTAAAATCAGGGGTCCTAAACCCCCCAAAAAAATATCGTAGAATTTTCAAAGTTTTAACAATTGAGATGAAGGATTAATTACAGAGACAAAAAGTTTTAAATCTTTTTTCTTTAAGCAAACTTGACATCAGTTTAAAATTTAACTTAACAATATTAACTTTTGACCATGACAAGCTCTTTCAAAAAGTTGGAAAACCATTACTCTCTTGATTTTATGATTCTTCTCTAACTATACTGAATTTTATTGGTGAACTGAGTCAGGAATTGTAACTGAAGAAGTAGAATTAATGCTAATAAATCAATGAATGGACCCAAAAAAATATTTGGTGAAAGGCTAAGTATCGATGGACTTGAAGATTTTGCGCACCCTGTAAATCATGGCTGGCTGGGATGGTCCAACATCGAAACAAAGACCAATAAGTGAGAAAAAAACGATCCATATGGCTTATCTTAATCTATGTATCCGAACTGTGTGAGCAAGAATTATTGGGGTTTTAGAGAGGAAAAATATTTATATTCCCTTCTTCAATTAAACTTCCCTTATATTCAGTTCTGCCACCCTTTAAAATGTTGGGAAGAAAGTAACTTTTCCTTGATTGCATCAACATAGTTAGTAATGCAAACTTGTATGACAGGTGAGGGAAGCATCACCATAAATCTATTTTACACACTCGCACATGTCTAATCGCAAAAGCATGATAAACTAGATAGGAAATTGCATATAGACACGGAACTTAAAACATAGATAAAAATGAAAGAACTAAAGGGCCAACACATTAATGACCCAAGCCTGGAAAAGCCATGCCTTAATTGATCAGTTGCATCAAAAGTGGTTATCAGAGCTCCATGAAGTCTTTCTAGACACCATTCCTGATCACGGTTTTCTCTTCCTGCTACATGAATGAATTGACTTTTTTTTTTTTCTGTTGAATTAAAGATCTATGGTAATATGAAACTTGAGTTGAATTTATGAGTACAATTTTGGAAATTAATTTACAGTAAATGGAAAAACTTTAATTAATCTTTTACTAAATTAGATACATACTAAGAAACTCATGCCTGCGACCTGCTAAAATATGAGATTTCATGGATACAATAGCATCAATCAACACCTTATGGGCCGGCGCGACTGTCTCTGTTTGGTTGTTCAAGTTCATTTAACAAAGTTCCTACTCTTCCAATAAGTAAGTACAATGGACGCTGAACTTGTTAAGATTTTGCACATCTTCAGTGAATTCTTCACAGAATTTTCAACGGAGAGATCAGACGTGGTTGAGATACACTGTCTCCGTTCAATATTATTCTATATGTTCGCATCTGCTTCTGCATGTTACAAACAAAATTTTAATGCTAATTAAGCTCAAGCATGTCCTTATTACCTACTCGAAGAAAAATTATATTTATTTTTTTCTTCATGTCTCCAGACATCGAGTAGGATTTGATGAGAGATTTATTTATGTTTAAATATCGTTCAAACAAATATAAAACATCATAATCCATGAGTTCATTTAGTTTTCGTATTTGTATATTCATATTCCGGATTTGGTTGTGAAAGGTTATGGTCCTGGACTTTGATCAATTTGACATTAAATTCAAGATTTTCAGTGTTTTGTTATGGGATTCTCTTAATCCAATATTTCTTCTTCTTCTTCTTCTTCTTTATAGACCAAATTAATAATTTGACGCACGCATATCATAGAAGCAAATCAGAGACTCAGAATGGTGGGTTGCTACTTGACAGTTTATAGTTTCTTGAACCATGGCATACAGTCTAATTGAAATATGAAGAAGGCCTACTAATTAGCTGGAGTAACTCAGTCACGACCACTCCTTCTAGAATTTTATGGACCTTTTGGGCTGCGTGTGAAGAACCTATTTCGGCCTTGAAACCCTCTCCCTCTAACTCTCTTAGGCTTTCATGTAGTACTCAACCTTGAGCTTGAAATCTCCCACAAGTGCTCAGGCTTTCTGCACTTTGTCATTTATGGGCTTTGTTTGTTGAAACCATTTGTTGCTTCAATCCTCAATATTTCTGACCTTTTGGGCTTATTTATTGAAAGTTAAACCCTATGTTTGGGCTTAGAACCAGCTTTAAGACAGTGGAACGCTTATTAGTGTACCCGAATCAATTTCATGTGGGCCCAGCACATAATTCTTTCTGCCAATTTCGTATTTGGTCGCTACGCAAAATTTTTATGTCAAGCGAAGGCTAGTCTCAACGGTCAAGAATAGTTGAACACTATCACAGGCAAGACCAAATCACCAACGTATTACACTTTAATAAATTTACAAATTACGAACAAAAGTAGACAAAGCAAAACTCTTCCCATCATTTTACATGTTTTACCCAAAACTTCAATTTAATTATGACTTTGAAATAATTCAATGACCAACTCTTAAAATTAAGATAAATTGTATTTATTTTTTATGTCTACAAGTATAGCTTAAGTATCTTTTCATCTTATAGAATCTATTGTCAAATGACATCAATATTAATTTATTTACCATATATTCCAAGAACTGAATTGAAAAATACTAAAACCTTTATGGATTGTAATAGAAATTCAAAAACTTATATTTTTATGTGAGAATATGAAATGCGTGTATTAGATGAGTGTATATAATTTTTTTCATTTTGAAATTAAAATGAACATGATATGGATTTTGAATATTTATATAAAAAAAATTTATTATGATTTGAGTTTTCAAATGCACATATTACATTATATATATATATATATATATTATATAATGTATTATTGAAATTCTTTTATTTACGGGTCATTATTCAAAATTAAAGTTAAAATTAAAATTATTTTAACTAAAAAAATTTATAAATCGTATAGATAATAGTAACGTTTCAAATATATCATTATTTATTTTCGTTGAAATTATACATATTGTGTATCAATTAATATCTTGATGGCACAAAATTGTATCAATCCATTTATAGATAATTTTTACATTTTGACATTATACCTCAACATTTGGATTTTGCTTTTGATTCAGCAAATCATTGTTTATAATTAGGTGTCGATCAAAAGAAGCAATATATAAAAAGTCCAAGGGGGCCTTTGAGCGAGCGAGAAATTAAACAACAAATCCAACACTAATTCCCTCCGCCGAAACTAGAATGCTTCGATAAGCATGTTGCATTGCCTCACTACTCAAATATATATATATATATATATATATATAGAGCTTTTCATACTTATGGAAATTAATTCAAGCCATACGTATATCAAACATTCCCCGACTTGTTTCTTTATAAATAATCATCAATTACCAGAGTTATCTAATTCGAAATAATAAGATAACTATGGCAACCACTACACTCTTCATTGTTGGATGCCTTGCTGTACATTTAGATAGATGAACTGCATCAGCGCACGCAACATATATATATATATATATATATATATAGATAAAATACAAGCCCCCATCACTGCCAAAATTCACAGCAATTTTCTTCTTCGGTGATTCAACAGTAGTGGATACCGGCAATAACAACTATATATATATATATATATATATATATATTAACACATATCTTAAGGCCAATTATCGCCCGGTTGGCTAAGATTTTCTATTATTCCGGGTCACATTCCTAGAGGGAGATTTTCAAATGGAAAACTTGTTCCTGACTATTTGGCTTCTATGAGCATCAAAGAAACAATGCCTCCTTTCCTGAATCCAAATCTATCATATAATGAACTTAGTACAGGTGTTGACTTTGCGTCTGCTGGATCAGGATACGATAATTTAACTAGTAAGCTATACATCTAGTTCTATCCTTTTCTCTGGGCAAATTGAGCTATTTAGGAGTTACCTAGAGAAGCTTGAGGGAACTGTGGGTCAAGAAAAGACCCTAAATAACTTATTTATTCTAAATTAATTTATATTCTAAGAACATTAATTGATAATAAATTTTAGGTTATATATAATATTGATCAAGAGCCTAAAACCCTTTTGTTTTTTTTTGTGATTGGACTATAGATAGGCGAGATTAATGAACGGAGAAGGAAGTGTTCCCCAACTCCACGTTATTGTATTATGACAACCATCGAATCTTTCTATTTGCACTCAGACAAAACAACCCACATGATGAGTAGAATGAACATTTCCACATATTCTTCTCCATGGTACTGGATGCGAAATTGCGTTTGTTTTCCCCTTCAACTTAAGAATTAGAATTTCAAATTTTGCTACATTCAATCTTTTCCAAGTCTATTATCAGGATTCAAGATGGAATATCGAACATGGGAAATGCTAACATTAATGCAGTAAATAAACATAGGAGTTACAAAAGCTGGTTGTTCCCCATTACTGGTACTATAAGTGAAAATTAAAAAAAAAAAAAATTGGATTGAAGATATTCAATAGGGTATTATTTTTTTAAAAGCAGTAATTTATGAAGTAATAGTTAATTGCACTTATATAAATTAATTCTATTAAATTGTTTGACTAGTTTTTGCTGGTTCTCTAACTTAAATTTTAAAACAGACGGCTATATATGTTAATAAACTTGCGTTATGCTTTATCCTCACTCTCTCTATCTGTCTCCAATATTCAATTTTTTGGTCATCGTATTTAACATTGTTATTACTATGATTAATTAGTTTAGGATTGTTCTTCTTTCCACCTTCTAGGTTTTGGATATCTGTTTTAAACCTCCTAGGTTTTGGTTTCTGGATATATCTGATAGATCAGCTCGAGTTAAAGATAATGTTTTGCTTCATTTTCCGTTATTTAAAATTTTAAACGTCAGATTTTTTCAGCTTAGAACTCATAAATGAAATTTCTTGTTATTTGTAAATGTGTGTATATATATAGAAATGTCATAGGAAAATTATATACTTCATCCATCTCACTAGCTGTCTTACAAATAAATACCAAGGCTTCATATATTCTTTCCAAAGAGATCGAGTTAAAAATGGCTCCTACAGTACTCCTGATCTTAATACTGATGCAAATAATCATCAGCACATGCAATCTCACGAGGGCTGCAACCTTGCCAAATTTCACTTCCATTCTCATCTTTGGTGACTCCACGGTTGATACTGGGAATAACAACTTTATAAATACGATTTTTAGAGGAAACCATCTTCCATATGGCCAAGATTTCCCAGGTCACGTCCCTACTGGGAGGTTTTCAAATGGAAAACTCATTCCAGACTTTGTTGCTAGCTTTCTAGGCATAAAACAAACTGTCCCTCCTTCTCTAGACCCAAATCTTTCAAATGATGACCTTCGAACTGGTGTTAGTTTTGCATCAGCAGGATCCGGATATGACGATCTTACCACTGTTGCAACAGGAGTCATCCCAATGTCCAAGCAACTGGATCAATTCAAGAGTTATACGGCAAAGCTTAGTAGGATTGTTGGTAACACGGAAGCTAAAAACATCATTCGAAATTCTTTGGTAGTTATAAGTGCAGGAACTAATGACTTTGGTTTCAATTACTACCTCTTCCCTTTCCGGAAAGCGCAGTTTGACATTAGCAGATATCAAGATTTTCTGCAAAATGCAATACAAGACTATGTCAAGGTTATATCAAATTAAAGTCTCTCCAAAAAAAAAAGAAAAAGCAATATTTAAATTTTCCTCTAGGTTCTGTTTTTAACAGGGTGCGTAACTTCCATTTGTTTACGCAGGAACTATACAATCAGGGTTGTCGCACAATAGTTATAGCAGGGCTTCCTCCAATGGGTTGTCTTCCAGTTCTAATCACGTTAAGACTTAAGCAGCCCCTTGATCGAACATGCTTGGAGGATGACAATGCAGACGCTCGGTCTTACAATCAAAAGCTTGTGAACTTGTTACCACAACTGCAGGCGTCGCTTCCAGGGAGCAGAATTGTATATGCTGATGTATATACACCTTTAATCGACATGGTCAACAATCCACAAAAATATGGTAAAACAATATGCCTTTTTTAACATGTCCAAGTCGGTATTTTTCATGGGAATGAAAATTTGAGGAATCATTCTGTGAGGTGTGACGCAGGTTTCACAAACACAAACAGAGGATGCTGCGGGACTGGATTAGTGGAAGCGGCATTCTTGTGCAATCCAATTACTTCTGCATGCGGAACGCCTTCTCAGTTCTTATTTTGGGATAGCATTCATCCAAGCGAGGCAGCTTACAAAGCCCTGGCTGATTTCCTGGAGAACCAGATCCGTCAAAGAATCCAGTGATCAAAGTTTTTAGTCGAATAAAGGACATCAACCATAGCTTTCTTTCTTTTTCTTTGATCTTTTCTGTTGCTGAATAAACCATCCGAAGACCATAGCTTTCATCATGATTTATTCTGTTAGTTGGATTTTGGACCAGGTCATATAAGAAGGAAAATAGAGTATTTGATTCGGTAATTTATGCTTCTATATCTTTATCGATTTCAGCTCGTCAAATCTTTTTCAATTGTAAGAGAGACATTGGACCCACAATACCAAATCACAGGGCACAACAAGACTCGAGGAACCTAAAAAGCAGAAACCGTCCCGGGAGTTTCTTGGCTTCTTTTGCCACCTGATCCAGATTTATTCAATCCACCTCTCTTTCTGCTTTGGTATTTCTTTTCCTTTTCCTTTTCCCATTTATCCAGAATTAAAAAATAAAATAATAATTAAAAATAAACGATGTCTTTTTTTTTCACGCTGCACCATAGTTATTCCCAAGATGATACAGGCAGAGAGAAAGTATTAGAAAAAAAAAAAAGCAAAAGTCAATTGAATTAATCTCAATAAGGGTGGGATGCAATAACATTAACTCATAACCATAAACGAATTGTAGCTCAGATAGGGACAAGACGCTGCATTAAATGGCTTCACTGAGAATGCTTGAAAGTAACCAAGGCACGGGATAGTTGGCATTAAGTATAAAACAGTATGGATGAAGGACTCATTCCTTCTTCTAATAGGATAATACGCTAATTTTGTGAAGAAATCATTACAAGCTTGGTCAGAACAGGAGTAATTTCGATAAGGTTATATCCTTTAGCATATATGCAGAAAATGGTCAATCCCAAAACTTTATTTATTGGCCCAAGATCCTCCCCTGAATACGACTCCTATTCTTTATGGAAGCAGAAGCCATACAAATGAATCTCGCACTAATCAAATACTAATATATATCAAATACCATATAAAAGCATGAACAGGACTTTTAACAATTCCAGAACCAAATGGCATTTTCATTTAAAAAGAAAAAAAAAAAAACTTGCCTACAGCAGGATGTCCAAACGATTTGTGTTAATTACCCAGCTAAGACAAGGAAACTTCCCAATTTAACAGATCCTACCTAAGGAAACAACAACACTTAATGAATCAGCTTGTACAATCTGACTATTAGATGTGCAAGTCATTCCAATTATCCATCCAAATAACTAAAAAAAAAAAAATAGCTTGGACTTCATTTGATCTAATTTTGTTCCAAAGCAGTAGCAGTTCAGAAAAATACCTGTAACAAGAATTCCTCAGATGATAATACCTCATGTATGACTATATTTGCTATATACAGAATGAAGAAAACACTGCAAGATTATAATACAACTTGAGACCAGAATACCATTCTGTTTAACACACAGGCAAACTATCCCTGAGTTGATTCACAAATAGAAAAAGAAAAACTGTGCTAAATACATTACAAACACCCAGTATTACTGCAAATCATTTTAGACTACCATTAACTACCTGCAGCTTATTTTACTTCCTGCCACCAGATGACCCACTGCCTCCCTCAAACAACTCGTTAATCCTAGCCTCAATATCCTCTGGGCCATACCTAATAAGCCTGTCGGCATTCCTCCCAATTTCAGGAATGCATTGTAACCTCCCAATGAAATTTCTATAGGCTGGTAACAAAAGTCTAGACACTGAAATCCTCAACTCTTCTCTCAGCTGCTCATCGAATACAACCCATGTAGACTGAGTTTTACGTACCTCCTCAAACTGTGAATTGAATGACTTGATCTTCTCCTTCATAGACTTGGCAATCGCATTCGAAGCCAAGGAGGAATTGTCAAGCTTTAACGTTCCCAGAATCTTATTCCATGAACTTCTTTGATAATTTGTACAATATTGCCGGACTTTTGCAGTGTGTTTTCGGATCCAATCATCACCCAAAAGTGACCCCAACTCACAATCCTTCACTTTTTGTACAATATATCTTACATTATTCATCATAAAAACAGAGCACAAAGCAGAGTCCCTATAAATCTTCGACTTTACCTCCAAATTACTCTCCAAAAGCTCCATAATCCACGCCATTTGAACCGACATTGAAGACGAAGATGATCCTCTATCATCAAGTTTATTAGGTGGAACAACCACATTACTTTCATCGAAAACTTGTTCTAACGTCTGTCGCGAACGACATGCGGCACGGAGATAATTCATTACATAACGTGTAATTGGATGAAGTCCGCCACCAGGAACAGCTGCCTTGGCTGGGTCCCGCCGAATCAAATTCTCTAATTCCATGAATATCCCTCTAATTGCTTCTCCTAACCTCTTCCAAATGGTAACCGCTTCGTTTCTAAGAACCAAACAGTACTGATTCGAAAAAACAGAATCAAATTCAGGCATCAAGTCCCGCAAAGTCTCGAACACATCGAGAACTTTGAAAAGTCTCTCCGGTGATCGGCTTCCAATAGCAATTGCGTCAGCAAAATTAAGTAACTGAATGGTGGAGCCACGGCAGACTTCCATGAAGGAAAGATCAGCAGCGGAGGAGAATCCAAAAAAGACGCGATCGCATAACCAGCGTTCGCTAGGGAAGAGGATGCGAAGCGCGACGTTTGCGGCTTTGATCCAGCGTTCAATCTCGTCTTCTAGCTCTTGCCATGGCATTTTTTGGACTTCGTCGATGCTCAGCTTTTGTAAACCTAGCCTCGAGATGCTCTCTTCGAGAAACTCTCTTCGGCACGTGCTGTAAACGTGAGAACATTCTTTTCCGAACCCTGCGGCTACCATGCGCTTGGCGATCTCGTGAATGTCGTTTATAGTCCCCGATGGAAGCGCGTCGATTACGATGTCGTAGTCCGTTATCGGTTGAGCAATGGGGATCTGGTGATCAAGATCCGCACCGTTGTAAAGAATTCCTTCTTCGTTTTCTTCAATTTCGTCCTCTGAATCGAATGATAAGTTCCCTGTTGACTCGTTGTTGTTTCGACTCAGTTCAAATGACTCAGCACCTCGCTCGATCAGACACCTAAACTCATCCTCTACGCGGAACATAGCCTGTTGCATCAAGTCGTCCGCGCGTACAAGATACGCGCCAATGGATTTCTCAGCGGCCATGGGGCTCCAGTCTCTGATCGTTCCAATCAACTCGTCAATAGCGTCAAGGAAGGCGGAAGAATCAGCCTTGTCAGCCCAGATGGGATGATCAACAGCCACGTATCGGGAGATACGGCGGTCCAAGGATTTGAGGGTTCGGTCGAGCGTGGCGCATCCATGGGGGTCCTCGTGGACAATTTTCTCAGACAACTTCTCGCGAGAAAATCTGCGGTCGAAGTTTGAAAAGATCTGCAAAATATCGTCCGCCATGGTGTCGTTTTGGCCCAGCGTCTTGGCTATGTGCCTTGCCACCGCTAACAGCTTTTCTTCACCGTTGTCAGCCATGCTCAAAAACACTAATCCCTTTTCTTGTCTTCTTCTATCATCCCTGCTTCAACATTAGCAAATGAGAGACAATATTCTCGGCCGGGCTTTTCTCTTTTTGAATATAATTAAAATAGTTTTCAGGGTTTTTATAGAGGTGAAGGGGAAAATGAGAAAAGAAGTTGGGAGGGAGAGTGAAAGTGACAGTGATTATGACGGAAAAGACCTTGGGAAACGCGGTTTGAGAAAAGCAGTTAAAGCGAGGTGATTGGAAAAAAAAGAAGGAAAAAGAAAGTGAGATTGGTGGGCTTTGGAGTTTTCCAAATCCGTTTGATTTGGTTTAGAATAAGTGAAGGTAGCGACTTGGACAAATAGAGTCTGGGGTTGTCCTTCCACACATGAACTGGATAACTCGTCTTGCTCCCACTCTTTTTCTTTTTAACCAATGAAAACAATCGATCAGGAGTTGTGATTATAGTTGGTAAGATCATAGAAACTCAAATTCACAAACTTAAACAAAATCCCTGAAAATTCAACTTCTACAGGGACCAAGATAAAAGCACAATCTGATCTTTCTTTTTATTTTATTTATATTCTTTTTAAAGTGTAAATAAAAATTTTTACAACAAAAAAAAAAAAAATAGCCCTTCTTTCATACATTCCATCAAATTTTAAAGCCTCTGTTGTTGTTGATAAAGCAGAAACATTTTCACCTTACCAACTCATTGCTAGTAGTTCAGGAACGTCCCTTTAATTCAAGCCCAAAATTAACTTCATGTCTGATGGGCCTATTGTTAACTCTCCTTGTTATATGTTTGCAGCCCACTGGATTTAGACAAGGCCTTTGCCAATGGGCTTCTTCTATATTTAAATTTATCTTAATTTCGAAAAAGAAATGCATTTAATTGGAAAATTATTGCTTTCCTCCCCTCGTGTTCCTTCCCTTTTCTTTCGCTTCTCAACCTGTTGTGTGACTGATAACGCAAGCGAAAAGGAATCTCTACTTTACATTTGAAATGTATTTATATATAAGAAAACTCGCTCATACCCGTTCATTCCATCATCAACGGTTTGAAACCCACCAAAATTCAGTTGAATTTCGCGTCTCTTAAAAGAAAAAAAAAAAAAAAAGAAGGTAATCCTAGAAACCGTGCGTTTATATACGTTTCTCAAAATCAAATCTCAACTATACCTCCGCTCAAAACATAATCAACCAAATTTCTTCCAATCGTCTTTCACATTTCTTTAAATTTCTCCTTCATCGCCACTATAGCAATGTCTTCTACTCCAATACTCCCAGTCTCAACATCGGAGCCCAACGCCGAATCTAAACCTTCCACCACCACCCCGAATATCCGCTACATTCTCACGCGCATCTCCGCTTCTGTCCGCCACGCTCTCTCTCACTGCCGTCCCTGGACCGAGCTCTTTGACCATACTGCCTTCGCTAAACCAGCCTCCTTCTCCGATGCCACCTCACGACTACGCAAGAATTTCTCCTACTTCCGAGCCAACTACCTCACCATACTCGCGGGTGTACTCGCCTTCTCACTCATTTCCCACCCTTTCTCCCTCATAATCCTGCTGTCACTCATCTCGGCGTGGCTTTTCCTCTACGCGCTGCGGCCCTCGGACCAGACACTGGTGATATGGGGCCGAACGTACTCGGATAGAGAAACGCTGGCGATGTTGGTGGCATTAACTGTGGTGGTGATATTTTTGACGAGCTTGGGATCACTATTGATATCCGGAATCATGATGGGGCTGGGGATTGTGTCAGCCCACGGTGCCTTTAGGATGCCGGAGGATCTATTTCTTGATGAACAGGAGCCGTTGAGTTCGGGGTTGTTCTCGTTTGTTAGCGGTGCTGCTTCATCTGCTGCTACCGCCGCCGCCGCCGCGGCTCCTGCTATTGTGTCGCGCGTATGAGCATTTAATTTACGGGGTTCTCTATTTTACTACGATTCATTGCTTCTGTTCTTTTTAAGGAATTAGGATTGTGGATCTAACTTCTTGGGCAGATATGGATCTACGAAGGATTTTAGATTTTTCTTGTAACGTGGATTATTTGTTGTTGTTGTTGTTTTTTTTTTTTATTATTTATTTTTTATGGCAGGATTTATTACATTAAGCATCGTATGAAGTTGTATGACGCTACATACAACTTTGTTTTAATTTTTTTTGGTACCATTTCTCATTGATTTTATTGGATCCCATAATTGGTGTATTTTGTCTAAAATATTGACAATTTTATATTAAATCAAACAATTCACGTAGTTCGCAAAATATTAATAATTATATATTAATATTATATTTTATAAAAATATAATTAATAATTATATGTTAACATTATATTTTACATAAAAATTATATATTATAATATATATTGATAAAAAATATATTATTTTTATTAAACTTTTTTTTTTAAATTTAACTCGTATTATTATTATTTTTTATCATTTTTTATCACATTAAATTCTCGATTACTAATCTAGCTTTTTCAAATAAGGAAAATAAAGCAAAACTAGAAATGATGAAATGGGTTTACAAAATCCACTCTCATGGTAAATGGAGAATAAAAGTCAATTTGAATCGAGCAAATCGATTAAAATTGAGTAAATTTAGTTAGATTAATTTGATTTATTCAATTTTGATTACAATCGATTTTTTAAATCAATTAAATTAATTAATTAGGTCAATTTTTTATTTTTAAAATTGATAATATAAATGATTGAATTAACCTACTTTTTAATAAATAAAGATAAAAATTTGAGATAAATATTTTTATTTATTTTTTCTTGTAAAATATTGTGAAAATTATTAAATTTTTTAATTATTTAATTTGAATGATATTTAAGTTTGAGTATTATTGAATTGAATTTATAGTTAAATAATTATTTATAATAAATAAATATAAAAATTTAATTATTTAATCAAATTGATCGAATCGAATCGATTTTAATTTATTTAGTTATAATCAATTATTTAAAAAAATTTTATTAATTTAATTATTTGTTGAATGAAATAAGTTGTCTATTATTAATTTTTTTCAAACCGATTCGATCAATTGCTTACCTTTATCTCTTATAACAAATGAAATGATTATGGAATTTCTAATTCCAATACACCCAAAAGTAAACCAAAATTAATTAAGAATTAAGAAAAGGAACAACATTCAATTGGAGGAGGAAGCAGGCAGCCATAATGTCAAATTGAAGCGGAAACAAGATGATCCCATCATCATCTTCCCAATCCCACACCAAACCTATATAATCATAGTGCCAAGGCAAAGCAGGATATCAACAGGAGTAACAAACAGTTTACAACACCAAATTAAAAATTAAAAAACAAGTTAAAATTTATACTCTAAAAAACCAAAAAAAGAAACTAGCCAAACTGCTCCATTTCCTTCATTATTTTGAATGTAAGAACTATCTCCTAATCGGGGCAATAACTAAAAAAAAAAAAAAAATAGAAAGTGAAGGCTGAGGATTTGAACATATATCCAAACATTTGAGAGCTATGTTTTGCATATCCACTCGTCTCCTCTGCAATCTTAGCCCACACATTTGAAATTTTCTCAGCATATCCCACCTGTTACATTTTCACAACATGTGAGCTAAGAAACAAAATATGTTGAAGGCATAAATAGTTAGTATATATTGAAAGATTCAACTTCATTCTTTCTCTGCATTGTCTAAATAGGATTTTTTTTTCTTTCGAATTCATAAGAGCACGGTCAAGAATATGACACTATTTTGACTGCATAAACTGAATCACCGACTATTAAGGCAAGCAGCCTTAACACACAGGATTCTGTGACCTTTTTCGCATTTCCATGCACAAGCCTTCTTTTAAGGGTTAAAATGAAAAGAGTTCAACTGATGCTAAAGGGGAAGTAGGTGGAATACACTGGAAATAGCTTATATAGCCAAAGCCCATAGGCAAGTTTGAGAACAAAATCAAACACAATCTACAAGGACCTCTCTTAAGAGGGGGAAGGAAGAAAGCCTCATAATCAACAACGTGACCATAAAGAGATATGGGACTATCTTTTATTGAAGTGTAATTAAGGCCTTGAAACTGACAAGGAATAAATCTAAAAGCAAATCAACTACATTTGTTTGCAATGCAAAGGCAATAGCGAACAGGCCAGATTAGATAAAGTCAGTGAGTAATGAAGCTTTCAACTGAGATAACACAAGTTTAAGAACGAATAGAATCCGCTGCAGTACCCTCAAACCAAGTTAATCAGAGCTTTGTTAGCACAATAAGATCATCCAAGATGGACAGGAAAACCAATATAAAATTTACATGATTTACAACAAACCCTTCAACGTGTTCACGAAGTCCACACGTCTTTCATTGTCAAGCCTTTCAAGTTCACACCTCTTGTTTCCTATATTTACATCATCATGAAACCAACTTAGAAAATGATGAGGATAACCATAACAATGAGACCATGTACTAGCAAATGCAAACTCAAATCAAATTATAGCAGTACCTAAAAATCCACAACAAAAGGACCCAACAATGTACATTGTTGGATGCAGAAGACACAGCTCACAGCGACATAAGCATCTTTGTCAAGCACAAAGTAGAAGAGAGAAAAAGAGAGAGGACTGGCAGGGAGGGCTATTGTATAGCTAGTAACATAATTTACTAATACCAGTCTTTCCCTTTAAGTTATTCCTATCATATCTTCATTTGCTCTTTCACATCCTGTATTAGTAGCATTCGTTAAGATTTAATAAAGGCTGTGACCTAAGAGCTGTTTAATGAGTAGGCATGTTTATTATAATAGCATCACGCAAGCACACACTAAAAAATCGATAAGGCCGACTTAAAAGTAATAGAGAACAACAGGAAACCAGAATACTCAATAAAGTGGGAGAACCACATATGATATTACTGAACAAGAGCTACCATCTAATTATAGCTGAAGGGTAGGATAGGTTCGCTTAATTAGTTATATGTCAATCTGTATGATTATAAGCCTTTGTTTATATAGGTAAAACTCAATAAATTAGGAGTGAACTATCTTTATCACACAATAAATAATTGAGCCAAATATTTATGTGATGCAAACATGCAATGAATATACAAAGGATATTTATTAACAATCATAGCATGACCATAGGAAAAATTCAACATTTCAACGACAAGGACAAAAAATTATCCTCAAATTCAGATAAATAGAAAGGATATTATGAAAATTACTTGCCTTGATCCGCTCATATTCTCTTATGGTAACATTTTTAGCCTCTTCAGTAACTCTTATAGTCTCTTTCAAGTCCTTTATCTTGTGAATCCTTGATTTGTCGACACCAAATATTTTTAATGATGCAGCTTCAAGTTTTTCAGCCCTTGAATGCAATGTAAATAGTTCTGATGTAAGAGTTTGCATCGTCAATAAAGAACTTGATCGATACAAAAATGCACCATGCACGCTAACATGAGCCCGAGATATTCATGAAGTATATCCCGAAGTGCACAGTAAACAAAGTGCACATTACCAAATGCCTGAAAGTCTGTACTTTCTATTCTCGGTAAAATCTACTAGCTTTGACCACGGCAGATGCCAAACACTTCATGTCAGCGGTCCGTACTATTTGAGAATTGAACGTAGCATTCGCATTCTCAAACTTAGTCAGCTTAATAAATGCCGATCCTAATTCTCTCATTGTCTCTCCCGTCTCTTACTGTGCTTTACCAAAGGCCTCAGCCTATAAGGAAATTAGTCTCTGAATTTTTTGATTAGTAGTTAAAAACGTTTAAAAAGATATTAAAAGTTTGATTTCAAGTTAAATTTTTTTTTTATTTATATTAAAATTTTACTTTCACGATGTAACTCAAAAAAAATTAACATCCAAATAAAACCCATCATCAAAACCTCTATCCCACAAGTTTCAAATGTACATGTCAAACTCAGGAAAAAACAATTGCTGAGTTGCTGCTCAAGATAGTGAGTTCACTATTTCTTTTCTATAAACACCTTAAACGAAACGGAAACTGGATTCTCTTTTTTTGTTTTTTTTTTTTCTTCGGGTCGCTTCAACTCTTTGGTGGGCCTTTTTTGGGTTTAGAATGGATTTAGACTTTGGACTGTGGAGATTGGACTAGTTTTTTGAAGTGTGTTTTACGCTTTGCTTGACTGGGTTTGGATGCATTTGGATGGGCTGAAAACAATGGTGATGAGATTAGTTCTGTTTGAAGGACTGACGAGTTGGGAAAACCCTAACCATGCAAAAAGAGTACCGAGTACCTAAGAAACGTATTACTATCACGCAACAAAATGGAGAGGGAAGCAGAGATCAGGAGAAAGATGTGAACGTCAACTAAAATAGGGCTAAAAAGGAGATCGATTTTGTCCTCAGATTGTTGATTTTTCCTTAACATGCACTAATATGTAGTTACTATGTTTGGAAGTCGAAGAAACACATATTACATTTACAAATCTAAAAAAAATAAATAAATAAATAAAAAGTTGGCAAACGGAAAACAGATAATTTTGCCAACGGTCTTGTTGCATAAAGGGTGAATAGAACTAAAAACCTTAGAAAATAACATAATTAATTGATGTTTTATTCTTGTGAGTATAATATTTTTCGTTGGATTTAACAACTTATTATTTGCTATTATTTGATACTGTTTTGTATCTCAATTATCTATTAATTAAAAACTTTACTTTTTAAAAAATGTTCTTTTATTTCTTTTCTTCTTCTAAACAAAATTAAATAAAAATGAAGTCTCAAGTTGAATTAAAATCTCTATCTTTTTTTTAGTTTTAGAAAAAAAAAAACATATATGCTACTAGGGAAAATATGTTATAAATTGTACATAATTTCTACTATTATATAATTTTCTGAGGAATCAGGCAACTTCCCATGGAATGTTACCAAAAGTAAATAGTCAAAATATACTATGCCAATTAGTTGTATACTATAAACAAGGATATATATATATAGTAAAATGTAAAGAGAGAAAGAAAGGGAGGATATATAGCAAAATAATTCTTCACATAAATTTTAGTACTTTTTTTTCTTTTGGCTACCAATGTAGCTAGTTATGAGTTCCAAATGCATGAACTGAATTGTTTTTTGCTATTTTTGTCGTGGATGGGTGGTATGGAAACCGAAAACCACAAGAAGAAGCAATATCTCTTGGCATATTAT